TTTATTTAATCCCATTTATTTCCAAGATTATCTGATCATGGATTCCTATTACTCTCTGTTGCTTTCTTTGTTTTGTTTGAGGAACACTTTTTAATATCTCGTAAATATGACAGCCTATGTAACACCAAAGCTGTCTTGCTGTGACTCCAGATTGGTCTCTAAGATTGGATCAGATAAAGGTGGAGATCAAGATTTGATTATTTTTTGAAGTTTCTGCCCAAACTTAGCCACTTCTAAACTTGATTAAATTCAAGACTAGATTAGATGGCCCTGCAGGTATGGGTCAAAGAAAAGAGAGGGATTCAACTAGAAATCCACAAGACAGTTTACCTGCTCAAGCACTTTGCTTGAAGGAAATTAAAGTGTAAACTTCATCCTTTGCCTTCACACTGAGCCGTGGGAGGCGGCCACAGCCAACTGCAATTCAGTTATAGAGGTTTCCTGGAAAATGACGTTAGAGAATTTCTTCACAGAGCCATGAGTCATGGGGCCTGGAGTCACAGATTTTGACTGTGGAGTGGTGTCAGTTTTTTCAAATAGAGGGTTTGGGAGGGGTGGAGAGGTGGGAGTTCAATAATTGGCCAGTCATAGTAAATAAAGGGAAAGGGGAACAGGGTGGCATTCTCTCTGGGTTTACATGAAAACTGGGGCCATCATTGCTTGTGGTAACAATATTAACAATTTCACTAAAAGGGAAGCTTTTCTCCTTTAATTTGGTATGAGTCTGAATAAGTGGAAAATAAGGGAAAAAAGGAAAGAGAAAAGGTTAGTCTTCCTGTCTGTGAAGTAAAGAATCAATGAGGATATTCCCAGGATTGTGGGCACCTTATTAGTTGGTACTCTGTGGACACTTGGATTACAGGGGTCTTAAGCAGCTATCATAGGATCCCCCATTACTGGGGCCGAGGTGACTTTAGGAGGCATTTGGCACAGTCTTCTTGTGTGTAAGCTATTTGCCATGTCCAAGAAATTAATTTATTGGCAGAATAAATCTCAAGCCCAAGGCTCCTGACTCTGCAATATTATGATCATTCCATATACCAGATTATTTAGAATTAATGAGCAAATGTCATCATTTGTTCATTCAACAATCTTACTTTTTTAGTGTAATCAGGTACTGTGTTAGGCCTTGAAGATTTGAAGATGAATAAACTAGCTCCCACTCTCAAGGAGCTCACATTCTACTGAAGGAGGAGATAATTATAAAACAAAGTGTTTTGTACCATAATGGAGATGCACAGATGTTACAGGCACTCTTTGTGGAGAGTGGGGATTGGGCATGAAGAAATAGATACAATCAGAGAAGGCTTCCTGGACAAGTGCTGCTTGACCTGAGTCTCAGGATGATTAATAGCTAACCAAATTAAAGAGTCAGAGGGAGAGAAAGGGGCAAATTCCAGCAAACCACATGAGCAAAAGTAAGGAAGGAGGCATTGAGGTAAGTATTCAATGCTGCTTGCTAAATTTTAAAGTATAAGACAGGGACTGCTGTCATGAGTTTGGAAAGGTGGACAGGTGCAAATGAGGAAGGGCCTTTTGATGTATGTATACATGCATAATCTGTTGCTACAGTCAAGGTAACACATTTCTCACTCCCAAAAGATTATTGTGGTCTTTTGTAATCCGTTTCTCTTGCCCTTTCCTATTACCCCTCTATTTCCCCTTCCTTTCATTCTCCTCTACCCCTATCCCCAGGCAATTATAGATCTTTTTTCATGTTGCTATAGATTAGTTTTCACTTTCTAAAATTTTATATAACTGGACTTAGAGTACTTACTTTTTAAATTTTTATTAAATTTATTGAGGTGACATTGGTTAATAAAATTATATAGGTTTCAAGTGTATAATTCTATAATACTTTTTTCGTCTAGCTTCTTTCACCTATCATAATTATTTTGAGGTTCATCTATGTCATAGTATATATCAACTGTTCATTCCTTTGTATTCTTGTGTAGTATACCATTATATGGTTATACCATAGTTTATTTATCCATTCATCTATTGATGACCTTTGGGTTTTTTCCAGATTTTGGCTATTACAAATAAGGCTTCTATGAATATTCCTGTACAAGTTTTTGTATGAACATATGCTTCATTTCTCTTGGATAAATACCTTGGTGTAGAATGACTAAATCATGTTTCACTTTTTACAAAACTGGCAAACTGTTTGTCAAAGTGGTTATACTCTTTTCCATTCTCATCAACAGTGGATGAGAGTTCCAGTTCCACCATATCTCACCAACTCTTAGCATTGTTAGTTTTTTGTTTGTTTCTTTGTTTGTTGGTTTTATTTTTCATCATTCTAGCAGGTAGGTATTGGTATTTTGTTGTGGTTTAAATTTGCTTTTCCCTAATGACTAATGAAGTAAAGTACTTTTTCATGTACTTATTTGTCATCCATGTATCTTCTTTGGTGAAGTATCTGTTTAGATATTTTGCCCATTTTTAAATGGAATTGTTTGTTTTCCTACGATTGAGTTTTGAAAGTTGTCTGATGTCCAATGTCTTGTGAGACATTTTTTATAATTTGTACACTTTTTGGCTGTTTTTGGATGAGAGCATAAATCTGGTCCCTGCCAATCTATACTGGTCAAAAGCACATACCTAAATATGTGATTTTATATTTTTACATTTAAAAAAATACAGCTGAAAATCTTTGAATTTCTATGGCATAGTGTACTGTTCTTTGGGACTTGACATACTCATCTTTTATTACTGTGCAAAGGGCTCTCAAGGATTCTCAAGGATTTGAAGATAAAGACTGGTAAATGTCACATCTAAGAGTTAAATTAATTTAAAAATTCTAGATAAAACGAATAAGATTATTTTTTTCCATAGATGTCTCTTAGTCTATGAGATACTTGGTCAAAGTACAGAGGCCTAAGAAACACTCAAATCTATCATCCTTTCCTGATAAACAAGAGTGGTCCTTTAAGACTATATAATCACAGGTGCCATCTATTGAGTACTGGGCATATGTCTATCTATGTGGTAAAATCATTTAATCTTCACATCCGCCCTATCACGTATAAGTATTATCCTATTTTACATAGGAATACGTGTGACTAGAAAAGTTAAGTAGGCTTCTAAATCTCACATAGCTGTTTAGTAGCACTTGTGAGGGTTGACTTCCAGTTTGACCTCAAAGACTGTGTTGTAAATCATTGGACTTTTTTTTCATTCCCCTTATCATGGTTTCACTTTCCATGGTTTCAGTTACACATAGTCAACCACAGTCCGAAAATGCACAATCCATAAGTTTTAAATAGCATGCTGTTCTGAGTAGCATGATTAAATCTTGCACCGTCCTGCTCTGTCCCGCCTGAGACATGAATCATCCTTTTGTCCAGTATATCCACACTGTATACACTACCTGCCCTTTAGTCACTTAGTAGCCTTCTCAATCATCAGATCAATGGTTGCAGTATCATAGTGCTTGTATTCAAGTCACCCTTATAGTAGCCTAACGCTATGTCGCAATGCCTACATCATTGACCTCACTTCATCTCATCACATGCACATTGTATCATCTTACGTAATGAGAAGAAGAAGGGTAAGAAGAAGGAGAAGGAGGAGGAGGAGAAGGACGAGTATAGTACAATAAGATATTTTGAGAGAGACCACTTTCACATAACTTTTAATATAGTATATTGTTATAATTGTTCTATTTTATTGTTAGTTATTGTCGTTAGTCTTTTACTGTGCCTAATTTTATGTCAAAGTTTGTATAGCAAAAAAGAACATAATATATGTAGGGTTCGGTATTATCTGCAGTTTCAGGCATTCACTTGGGGTCTTGGAACACATTACAATCTAATTAATTTTATTTTAACTTGATTAAAGTAATGATGAAGGATTAAGAATAATTTTGAAGGTCAAGACAAGAAGAAAAGGAAAAAAGGACAAAGTAAAGGGAAAGGAAACAGTATGAAATAGATAAAAGTATTAGGTCTTTTCAATAGAAATTACTCTGTCATGGAACAGAAGTAGTTCATCAGGCTTATCTATAACCTGGCTGAACCATCCCTCAAAACCATCTGATTTCTGGGTGCCTTCACATGGCAAAGAAGGTAGGATGAATTGTACAAGCAATCTATGCACTAGAAAAGGCATAGTTCTAATGGGGGAAAAATAAACAAAAATTGACATTCTGTTTTATATATTGCTCTCATGGGTAGTTTGAAAATACAAGTCACTCTATAGAACCTCATTACTTCTGAGAGAAAATGCAAAATTGTGTATCTTGTTCTCTAGAATTGAAGATCAGACTTTGAATATTGATGTCCTCATCAAGAAAAAAAAATCTATTTTTTAAAAATTCAAACTCTCTTTTCATTTCTTCATTGGATCTTTGTTGGCCAATTTTATCTCTGCTGTAAGATTGACATATTCTGGAGGATAGCTACTACTTCCTCATGATTGCATCTCCTATAGTATCTTAGGAAAAAAAAAAACATCAAAAGGTCTTTTCAATAAAAGAATGAGGGAGGCATAGGTAAGTTCCCCCCCACCTTCATGTGGAGAGTTTTATAGACCACATGTAGTATGTATGTGCATCTCAGGGCATTTAAAGAACTAGCTGATTAAGCCATGGGCCTTCTCCACAGCGGGCTGACCGGCCAATCCCTGACCCCAGTGCTGCCCTCTTGAGTAAGTGCCCAGGTACTAGTCCCTGAGTACTGGCCTGCTGTGTGTCTCTGTGACTCATCCTCCCCTAAGAATAGCTCTCTAGCTTACTTCTAGAGTGCTTAATTCAATGACACCATCCTTGGTTTACTGAATTGAAGAAAACATGAGTGTCTGAGATGAGCCAATTGGCACCTCAGTTCAGAAACTAAGAGAGCAGGAAGTTTGGGGAAACTTACCAGAGAAGAGTCACAGCTCAAATCCAAGGTAATGTTGAAGATCCTTGACCCCTGAATGTTGGCGACCTCTGATCTTTGGAGCTACCTTGCAGAGCTGGGTCACTTACTTCCTCTGTTTTTCCTTCCACTTTTTAGTGCAAGAATATTCCAGCATGGGCATGAGTAGCTTGAAATTGCTGAAATATGTCCTATTTTTCTTCAATTTGCTCTTTTGGGTAAGTGTGTCTCTTCTGAGTGTGGCTGAGCTCACCTCCTCCCAGCTACATTCTACTTCTTTCCTCTACCAAAGAGCATCGTGTGGAGGGCAATTCATGCATGCCTGGGCCGTGTGCAGCATAACCGGCCTAAAAAAGAAGGGAATTATCCTTTCCTCTAGTCTTCCCATCCTGCCACAGTATAAGCTTGCAAAATTGAAATGCACCAGTGCAGTTATTTATGGGGATGCGGTTTCTCTCTCTGGGGGCTTTAGGCTTTTACTGCTCACTACTGACATCTATTGATGAGGCACCTGAAACTACATTCTGTGCACTGAGTGCCTCTTTTTTTCTAGCTTTTACGTGCCCCCTGGACCTCTTGGAAGAATAGCTGACTGAAAGGGAAGTCATCTTTTCTGGGGAGGTTTAGCAATCAAATTTCAGGTACAGGATGAGTTGGTACTTACATTTCTATGAGAAGATTCTTAAAAGTTGGCTTCTCCATTTTTCTACCTAGCAAGACAAACTTCTCAAACAGGACCCCTTCTCTGCATGGTTGTGGTTTCCAAAGGGAAGACCATGTGTAAACAGTTGAGTGAACAAGGTAGTGGGGATCTGACATGTGAAGATATTGTGTTACACACAGAAGTGAACTTCCCATGATGTCTGATACAGGTAGGATGAAGCATTCATGGGACATCACAGGAGGAAGCTGGGGTCACCTGTTTTGTAGGTGCATGGGAAAAGCTGGGTAAAAAGTTTATTCATCAGAGTCTTGATAGAGCCAATGGGAAAAGGTGATTCTAATCTCAAGTAAGTGAGAAGATGAGATATTCAAGAACGATGTTTTACCTAAGAATGTGGTGGGATTCTTCCTTTCAGTTTTGCGGCTGCTGCATTTTGGGCTTTGGGATATACTTCCTGATCCACAATGACTTTGGGGTACTCTTCCATAACCTCCCCTCCCTCACGCTGGGCAATGTGCTCATCATCATCGGCTCCATTATCATGGTGGTTGCTTTCCTGGGCTGCATGGGCTCCATCAAGGAGAACAAGTGCCTGCTTATGTCGGTAAGTCTCTCGCAGCAGATGTGGTGGTCCCCTAATTGGAGGGATATCATGTCTTAAGCCCCAGGCAGATGTTTCTTGGTAGCTCACCTAATGGCACAGAGAAATCATAGGAACATAAAATTGGCGTCTCAGGTCAGCCAAGTTTGTCTAGACCAATAGTATTTTGTTTCTGACTGGGGTCCCCGGGATGGGCACTGCTATCCACCTTGCATCCATTTTACTGTTAATAGCAACACTTGTCATTGTAATTTCCCTTCATAGCATTTTATTTCCTTTTCATGTCCGGGTTGAAATGAACTGTCATCCATCTGCCTAAAACCTCCTCTCATTAGTATGTATTTGCAGGATGACTCAGTTGCTAAATAATGGAAAATCTAGTTTTCTAGATTTTTCTGAGTACTGTGACCCCCCCTAAAAATGTCAGAGGATACTTCCCTATCTCATATATGCATGAGATACACCATAGTATGAGTGGCTCAATTTAGGCAAGGGCCTAGGCTGCAGCCATTGAGGTCTAACACGAGCTTTTCTGTTGTTCCTTGTCAATTAACCATCCCAAGGAACACTTTTATGCTTAGATTTTGGCATAATCTCTATAAAAGAAAAGCTCATTTCTCTAGTGTGTCCAGAACAGAGCTTGGCATAATAGTGCCACTTTATCCATAAGTATGGGTTCCCAGTCACCTTGGTTCTTCCCATTATGGGAATTTATAAACTGGAGCCTAGAGATAGAATAAGAAAGTCTTGTTCTCAGATAGTTCCCAAACTAATGGCAAAAGATGGAAGATAATAGATATGGGGGAAAGGTTTTAAGTGGTCAAAATTTTTGTTGGGGTAAAAAGGTGTAGGAGAGGGGGTAAGTGAAAATGTTTCTGTTGTGTGTGGTTAACATAAAGGGAGTAAACACCTCTTCACCCCATCTGTGCAGGGCTCCTCTCAACTTCCACCATCACCTGTCCCCACCTCAAAATCCCTCTGCTCTTGCAGAAAGGACCAGGCCCCAAACTCTAAGGACACACAGTTTAGTTTACTGGTCTTTTGCTCAATTGTTTTGATAAGCTGATGCCAAAATTGTTTAATTGATTCAACAAATGGTATTTCATATGCATTATGCACATGGAACTTGACAGGCACATGAGAAGGAAAGAACAAAGTGAGAAGACAGCTGATCTGCCCTCTAGAGTTTTGGAGGCTAGTTGTAGGAAAAGAATACCTGTTACTCACAAAATAAGACAAAGCTGGTGAAGGCCCAACCAGGCAGGAACAAAGACCTCTTGCCCATGTGCAGAGACATGACTGGATGCTCCCGGGTGCAGTGGGAATAGGGTGAGAACTGGGATCAGTGCTGTGAGCATGTCTCTGCTTTATCCTAGTTCTTTGTTCTGCTGCTAATTATCCTCCTTGCTGAAGTGACCTTGGCCATCCTGCTCTTTGTGTATGAACAGAAGGTAAGTTATAAAGAATACAATTCATTATATGGCTGAGAATGGGAAGTAGACAGTGGAGAAGTTGGCACAAAATAAGTCCTATAATTAGAGGTAGAAGCAAAGTGAAAGGATAAAGGAAAGAGAGATTAATTGTAATTGGGAAGAGAAAAAAAATTTACAAAGGGTATTGCATTTAAATGGTGCTCTGAAGGATGAGTAGGAAGAATAGCAAACCCAAGTTTATCTTCCTCCTACTTACTTTTCTCCATGTGTCTGGCAACATAGAATATCTGGCTCAATTGTTTTGATAAGCTGATGCCAAAATTGTTTAATTGATTCAACAAATGGTATTTCATATGCATTATGCACATGGAACTTGACAGGCACATGAGAAGGAAAGAACAAGTGAGAAGACAGCTGATCTGCCCTCTAGAGTTTTGGAGGCTAGTTGTAGGAAAAGAATACCTATTACTCACAAAACAAGAGAAAGCTGGTGAAGGCCCAACCAGGCAGGAACAAAGACCTCTTGCCCATGTGCAGAGACATGACTGGATGCTCCCGGGTGCAGTGGGAATAGGGTGAGAACTGGGATCAGTGCTGTCAGCATGTCTCTGCTTTATCCTAGTTCTTTGTTCTGCTGCTAATTATCCTCCTTGCTGAAGTGACCTTGGCCATCCTGCTCTTTGTGTATGAACAGAAGGTAAGTTATAAAGAATACAATTCATTATATGGCTGAGAATGGGAAGTAGACAGTGGAGAAGTTGGCACAAAATAAGTCCTATAATTAGAGGTAGAAGCAAAGTGAAAGGATAAAGGAAAGAGAGATTAATTGTAATTGGGAAGAGAAAAAAAATTTACAAAGGGTATTGCATTTAAATGGTGCTCTGAAGGATGAGTAGGAAGAATAGCAAACCCAAGTTTATCTTCCTCCTACTTACTTTTCTCCATGTGTCTGGCAACATAGAATATCTGTTTGGGTGCATAAGAGAGCCCACGCTTTGATTGTCCCTTTTCCTCCTTGGTACTAGAGTTCTGGAAGCACAAGCGACCACTGTGTGCTTCTTCCTTCAATGCCATCTCACCCTCAGCACTTCTTCTGATATATATATAAAAAAAAAAGTCCAGAATGTCTCTCCGATCCCTTCCTTAGCTTTGAGGAGACCATTCAAAAGGGAGGAATAAGTGGAATCACTAACCTATACTAGAAATTCCTTGTTCCTTGAACTCACCTGCTTTTTGCAATGTCTCCTTTGCTGGGATGTGCCCTGCCCAGCTGAATAAGTCTGCGGCTGAGGGCCTGACCGACAGCATCCAGCGATATCACTCGGACAATAACACCAAGGTAGCATGGGACTCCATCCAGAAACATGTGAGTACAGATGGAATCTTCCTTAGCTCAATCCTGACTTAATTTTCCAACCTCAGTCCCTGAGGTCTAGAAGGGACTTCCTTTCTTGAAAGTTTCAGAATCTAAGGCCCACAGCCTCTAGGTCCAGAATATGGTTGGCTGTCACAAACAGGAGGAACAGGAATCAGTCTGATTGTCACCAAGTTGCCTATATTCTCTTTCATCCTTTACCAACTCAGATAGGCTCATTGTTTAAGCCCTCCTAAGATGTTAGGGAGACCCACATATGTCATACTAGATTAGTTTGTGTATTTTCCAAAATTTTTCTGAAAATAGAAATTATATAATGCAAGAAATCGCTTTTGAATTCCCGAGTAACCAAATCATGCTTGTTACCTAGCCCGCCAGCACCCTATTCTTC